CACACACACACACACACACACACACACACACACACACACACACACACCTCACCCAACCCAGGGTGGGGCAAATGACAATGCAGTGAGCTCCTGATAGCTGATACTTAGAGTCAGGAAAAGGACACTCTCGCTCTGTCAGGTTCAAGGAAGGATCACATCCTGTTCGTTCAACTCACTTACTGGGGACAGAAGATACCAGGCAGCTATTCAAGACCACAGGAACGAGGAGTGGCTCTCAGGACCAGAAAACCCAGGAGAAATAGAATCTGATGCCCAGTTAAATGGGCAAACAGGACAGATGGCAAGTTCCTGAGCTCAGAGTGCAAGGCCAAGGCCACATCCCGGAGAGCAGAGACCGTCTCTGGGAGTCCCTCTCTGCACTGACTTAACCTTTCCTGTCCACTTCCTGTAACCAGCAAGTGGGAACAGAAGGGGGAGAGCCCAGCTGAAAGGAGACTCCCCAGCATGTCAGAACACCTGCCCTCATGTCATAAAGTCCAATCTCAGAGAAGCCCATTGTTTATTCAGAGCACCTGCCCACAACCCACAAAAGAAGGAACATCTGGTGAGAGGAACATTCATAAAGGAAGAACTGTGTGGGTCAAGCTGGGGGTGGGGAGGAGGGAAAAAGATCTGCTCCCCAAGATCTCTTCCCAGACTTGATGCCAACAGCCTCGCCCTGAGCTTCTTCCTCAGAATTAGACTTTCGCTTTAATTTTCCTAAATAGACCCGTGCACAGTCACTCCTTAAAAAAAAAATACTCTTTGAAGGCAAATTTGCATATAACTCAAGCTTCTTTTTAAGAGAACAAAAACTTAAAAAGACAAGGCAGATAGATGGAGCATATACAAGACTGGATGGGTGATTGACAGGCAAGTAAGCAGATAGGTTTTTTGTTGTAGTTATTTTCAGTTCTTATGATTGAGCTGGAGCCTCCCACATGCCAGGAATTTCTCTACCACTCAGCTATATTCTTTTCCCAAAGCAATAATTTAACTGAAAAACTTCATTATACAGAATGGGCGAGCTGGGTGGTGGTGGCAGCAGTAATGGCAGAGCATGCTTTTAATCCCAGCACTTAGGAGGCATTGGCAGGCAGATCTCTGTGAGTTTGATGCCAACTTGGTATATGAATAAGTTTCAGGACAGCCAGGGCTACAAGAGAAACCCTGTAACAAAGAAGAAGGAGAAGGAGCAGGAACAGGAGGGGAGGGAGGGAGGGGGGAGGGAGTGGGGAAGGAAGGAAAGAAGGAAGGAAGAATGGATGGAAGGAAGGAAGGAAAGAAGGAAGGAAGGATGGAAAAGAAAGAAAAGAATGGACATTAAGTGTGTATAGACCTCAGCCATGTAACTAAGAATTCCCTACATTCAGAAAATGGACAAGAGCAACCAGTGGGCACCCCAGCACTGACTAGAGCAAGACCCTTCCCCAGACCCCACCTCATTAAAACCTATTTATTCCCCCATCCCTTTGACCCAGGGCAGAAATAGTAAATGAAGGAGAAACAAACACAGGAGGCGATGCTACATACACATAGGAAAAAAAATGATTTTTAAGTTGGTTGAACAAGTAGAAAAGTGAAAAAGAAATCTATAGCAGCTATCTTCTGTTAGTTTCAGTTTGAAAGCTGACTCTGTCCCGTAAAATTAGAAACCTGTGAACTGAAACGGGATGAGGAGGCAAAGGAGTTCATCAAATGCTGTGTCCATATTATGTGTAGCCCTCGTGTATGTGTGTGTGCTGTTACCCACCCAGAAACACAACTTCCCTCAGTGTGATGTATATACAAGACTCTGTCAGTGAGCCCAGGCTCAGACAAGCTCCGTGACATCTCTGCCTTAGTTTTACAGGAAGAAGGAACACATGGATGCCAGCCTGCCCTGCTGTCCCCTCGCCCTGGAGTCCAGACAGTTCCTTACCTTTGTCCCTGCTGGAGCTGAGGCAGGTAATGCCCTGGCTCAGGGGGCCCACAGACGCTGTCCAGGCCAGGGCGGTCGCTGACTGGGCAGGCATTTGCAGGTGGGCGGAGCGCAGGGCAATGCGCTCAGGGACCGTGATAGGTGCGCAGTGGAGGGAGGAGGCGCACTTGACTCTCAGGGTCCACAGCTCAGATCAGTGCCTGGGCCCCAGGACCACAGACCTGCTAGCTGCTCTGCTGACAAGCAGCCTAACTGTCTGCGAAGGTCCCGCCTCCAGAGTGTGCTGGCCAGAGCATCTTCCCTGGCACCAGCAATTGCGCAGATCCTCTGCAAAGACGCTGCTGGCTCTGCGTTCTGGCCTTCCCAGGGGACAGTCTCGAAGTTAACTTTGAAATCACTCCAGTGCAAGCCAAGTTTGGGGTCCTGAGTTCACAGACCCCAGAGGCCTTCAAAGACCATG